GGTTGATGGTGGTGGGGATAATGGAATTGAGGGATGGAAGGATCAGGCGAGAGGACACAAGCAGGGCCTGGTGACCAGGTCTTTTCTATTAACTCAGGGGGCTAGCTGGGGCAGGCAGGGGAATAAGGCTTGGATCTGCCCTCTCCCTGCCGGGTTGTTAGACTCGAGCRTTTAAACTTCAGATGGAGAGAGACGAATATTGCTCAGGGGTTCTGTGGTGAAAAACCTTGTGTTTTCATCAACCCCCTCTGGCCTTATAATGTTTCTTACTCTCTTGCAAAAGTAAAAATATCAGAGGCACACATTCTAAGACAGGAAACAATTTCCTTTCTTGAAAACAAATCTTTTCAGTTTTTAAATTGCTTTTTCATTTTTCTCATCTTGGCTTGAGCCTGTATGCCATTCTGATGATATAACTTTGAGTCAGTGTGTTAGTTTAATAATACAGTAATAAAGCCAATCTATAAAAAATACAGTTTATTCTATTTCAAGGTTCCTAAATCTTTGGTCTGGATAGGGCTCAAAAGAGTAGTTTCAATTATTTCTAAGTGGATTGTCAAGCTAAAATAAGCATCAACAAAAGGTGCAAAACCATGAGGAACATTGACCTTAAGTTTGTATTCATTAGATGTGGGGCAGAAGAAGAGCTCAAACTTCTGTCTCAGTATTCTAGACAACAAATACACAGAATCAACACATCTTAATATCAATTTCAGCCAGGGTTAGGGTTAGCAGTTTGCTCATTTATGTCAAATAAACAGCTACACGATTTATGATTTAAATCAGCGTGTTACAGGGACTCAAATATAAGCAGGGTTTCCCCCAGTSTATTATAGACCTGCTGGCCCACCTGTCCTTGCACCCTACCAGGCTAAGAATAGTTATTTTTTTATTTCAAGCCAGTGCACCAGCACACAACAGGATAAGTGGTTAGGACGTAGCATTAGCAACGTAGCTTTCCACTACCCAGATCGGTCATGATATGATAGGCAAAGCAGGCATGAAGGGGGCCCCYGAGAATAATACTGAAGTGGCTTATTGCAACGACCACATGAAACACTGAGAGCATTGAAATGATGTGTCGTACTCACACTACCCCCTCAAGTGAAAGGAGCCCTGKGACAGAAACTCATACTGTAGCAGTTTCATTTRGCYCRTTTACTAAACTTTAGCACAAGATATTTTTATCAAATTTTTATAATAAATTAATGTAATACATCTAAATGCTGCCACAAATATATTAGTAAATGATTATTTGGCAAGTAATGGCAGTACCCCCACCCCACATTATAGACATTGCTGAAATGCCCACTTATATATCACAGTAAATGCAGTGTTCGAAAAAAAAAAAAAAGGCAGTAAGTTTTTTTTTTCCAATATCGAGGGCAGCCCTAGTTAACTATAAATGTGGGGTTACTTTTAGGCCTGTCATAATGTGGGTACTTGAGCAACTTACTGAGGTATTAGTCATTAAAAAAAATTCAGAACCACCAATGAAATTGGTTTTATTTGAAAATAGCTTTATTACTACTGTTGATAAAATATGCCACAAAAATGTCATTATAGCTTTGTATAGCTATCTAATATAGATATTATAGATTTTTAACTGTAGTATTTATCATTTTTATTAAATTTTTACTTCAGAATTTGATGCCCAGATATAGTAAATATGTTGAAATGGATTAAATTGAATAGTGGTTTTAAAGTATTTGCATCATAACACGTCTTTTGCTTTTTAATTTTTTTTTTTTGTAAATTTGTGTGCCCGACAGCCTGGTGTTAGATAGTTAAGTTACGTTTGAGCCTCCATTGTGAGCCTGCATTACTCTGTTGACTTTACTGATAGACATGCTAACTCTTGTAGCTTGTTACTAAAGTATTTTTTAACAGTCTTTACTAGTTCTTTCAAAACTACAGTCAAGAACTTGTTGGTTCTCTCTCTTTGTTTTCTTCCTTTTTTTACAGCCAGAGAGCCACCTCTGAGCCAAATTATTACGTCACATTATTTTAAAATGAGAATTACACACAACATTTCAAACAAGATCTATAAACACCAGCTGGTGATGTTAAAAGAATCGAAACATAAATGGTGCCTCAAACTGTTTTTATGATTGCAATAGAAAATTCAATCATGAAGGAGGCTATGTGCATTGCTCTGACCAGCTGAAAAATGCTTCATGACTGGATTTAAAACACATAAAACACACATTGAAACTGCTAGAAGATTAAAGAGGATGAGGTCACATTAGTTCACTGTTAATTTGACTTCTCATTCATACTGAAATAAAGTAGTCTGTCTTAAAAAAAAAGCTCAATAAAAGCTAATAACTATATATATTTTAAAGTTGACACTCATAACAGTTTAAGTAGTTTGTTTCAGTGAATTCTCTCCCAACTACTGACAAAACCAATTCATTGTTGTGATCCAGGAGCTGGTTCTGGGGGAGTTCTGGCTCCARTTTAGCCCTGTTTGGTGAACCCTTGTTATCTTATTAAAAGGGGATTAAACAACCAGAATAGTAAGACGGAAAATGTTCGGGCTTTTAAAACCGTCATATATTGTGAAAACGTAAAACACTCACATCCAGTCACAAGTTTGAATTGACCTTGACCTTTTTTTGAGCTTGGATGTGTCTCTTGTTACCAGAATTACAATGTGCAAATTGTCTGGAGAAAAAAAAAAATCAACTCCTGTGTAGTCCACAAGCAAAGGTTGATGTTCATTAGCAGAAATGAAATATTGCTTTTCAGTTGAGACTCTTGAGGTGACAAACAGGACTTTTTCCGCTTGTCCCCATTACACACAGGCTGTAATCATCACTCACTCAAAACTAATTATACACCACACTCCGTCATCACAGCTCACTTCTCGACGTTAAGTAACTTCTCAGATGGTTGTGATTTGGTTAAAAAAATCAGCCAAACCTATAAATATCATTTATTCACAGCACAATTCAGTTTAGAAATCTATTTCTTGAGATATACAGCAGTCCTTCTCTTGTGCTAATCAGCCTTCTGGCTTTCTGTGCTGCAGGTTTCCGGCTTGTCTCCTGGAGACAACCAGACCCCGGGACTTCTGCTGGCTCCGGGAGTCAGGTGGGGACAGACGCCCATCAACCAGCTCACACCCTGGGATACAGATGAGCCCCCTGCCAAGCAACATAGAGACGGAGAACCCACAGGTAATGACTCACTCACACGCACACACAAAAACAGGCCCTTTCACATATCTGCTTGTACATCATCAGTATGCACGAAGGTAGCAGATGTATGCATCCATGTGGACGTCTGGCTCATGTGCTGCGGCCCACATCGCTCGGGCCAGCTACACCTAATGCTAATGAGGCATCGCTGCTTTGCCCTACATAAMATACCTGCTTACCTCCCAGTTATGCATACTTTACGAACCTAATCATGCAAGATATACATCCATAAATAACATCTTCACAAAAGCCTTCACATACGTCTAACATTAYTTAAAGGAATACACGGTGTGCGCCACCTTTCATGTCAGATTGTTAAACTAAATTACCTTGTGTTAAATATTATAGCTATTTTAGTCACACTGTGAAAATTATGTTATTCACTAATGTTATATTGTGAGATTTTGTAATCTGTACAGCTTGAAGCATGGGATATGTTAAAGATGTTAAGCTTTTCTTACATCAAATTTTAGCTCACTAGCTGTAAAATCAACTGAGCTAATGTTGCCTGTAAACTGGGTCGACTCTATAAGTTAATGAGTTGTGGATGTACATTCTGTRATTACTTTCTGAGAATTTTATTAAAATGTGTTGTATGATTTATGAGATATTTTGCTAACAGACAATCAGATTGAACTCCAACTGTTGAATTACCGGTGGCATGCATATCCTTCAAAGACAAAAGTCAAAGAAAACATCKTTATTTTTAAGAAACTTGACACAATACACATGATTTTTCACATTTTGTCACATAACTGGCATATTTTAGTTTGAATTTGGCTCACCCAAAGTGAAACAGGAAGTGACATCAAAAGGGGAACTCTTTAAGAAGGGGAACTTCCTGGTTTTWGTTTATTGAAACACTATTATTTGAACTYCAACTCTTCTTCCTCTTTCTTTGATAATGATTCAAAATAATATAAAGAAACATCAWATTCTTCTCTACAGTTTGTGTTGTTRGACATTGTAACAATGCTCTGTTTACATTCAGACATTCCCCTTTGACATCMCTTCCTGTTACTTCACGTGCAAATATCTCARCAATTGTTCATCTCARCGGCGTTACTTTTATTTTTGCAATATGTTTTCATTAAYGTTATCTTTCCAAAGATGCATTCATATTACAAAATAATGTTGTCACAGGCACATCAGTGTGAAAGTTTTAAACATCATGCAGAGTGCAGTGCTCAAAGTACGTGTTGGAGAAGGTTTTCAGCTAATACAGCAACAATTTTTACTTCAGTATTTGTAAAATTTACCAGAAAAAATGTGGCAATGTTTGTGTCTTCTTAAGGTTAGCTGTGAGGAGGTACACTTCGCTGCAGCATGCAGAACGGGGCGGTGACAGACCTTTCCGACAGTCCCATACCTTATATGGAAATGGGACAATTGCATTCCGGAAATGAAGGTTGCTCCTTAAAGACGCGGGATTAAGAGAGCAAAGGAAGAAGAAAGGAAGAAGTTAGAGAGTTTCTTCTACTCACGTTGAAGTACTCAGAGCATTATTTATTAATTTCTTTTATCCACCTCCCCAAACACAGACCCTCAGGTTAACCTCACAGGTTTAATGCCTAAGGTTAACCTCACAGGCCTAATGCCTAAGGTTAGTTTGTTACTGTAATACAATATAACAAAAACAACAAAGATTTAATAAAGATTTGAAAATGAAAAAGGGACATACCACGTGACATAACACGTTGTGTAGCCATGTCCTTACTGTAAATTTTTTTTTTTTATTAAACAACAAAGAACACACAAAATGATACAATGTACAAACAATAAGGCGTATTTCAAACAAACAAACAAACTTGCATAAAAGAGAAAAAGGATGGGTGCAAATAAAGATAAGAAATTCCTTACTGTAAAATTTGTATTGTTAATGTTGATAGTGTTCGATAGAAAATAGTGTCACTAGCGCCCCCTTCATTTCTGGAATGCAATAGTCCCATTTCCATATAAGGTATGTGACTGACGGAAAGGTCTGTCACCGCCCCGTTCTGCATGCTGCAGCGAAGTGTACTTGGCTGTGAGGGCATTGTTGAACTCCAAAATCTGCCCAGTGCTTCATGAAATATTATGCTAACATGCTAACAGATGGAATTATCATTTCCATGAAAAAAATGGCAAAGCTTTAGACCAGGGCTATTTAACTAAATTGCTCTGGGGGCCACAGTTACTGCAGGTCAACAGCTGAGGGGCCGAACATCCAGCAATTAAAGTTATWATGTAAATAAMCCAAGTATTACAAAGATCTGTTACCTTTGAATTAGTTTATTTTGCTGCATTTAATCATGAATATAACATACGGAACCTTATAAAAGTAGTGATAATTAAACATAATCAAAAACAACAAAAAAAGCACATTATGACTCCTATTGGACACAAACAACATTTTAGTATCTCTCTCTTACCAAATTTTTAAACCAATTTTATTTTTACTTTCATCATTTTATCTTCAACTGCTTGTAGTTTTAACTGTCTTGGGTGTTTATAGAAATGGTTTTACCAGCTTGTAGCCAAGATTCTRACATTTCTGTAGATAACAAACATGTCTATGTTTAACTAATAAAACTTAGAGTAATTAAAGTAGAAAACTGGTGGTTTGGGCTTACGAGATGAATGAACCAATTGGCAGGCTGGACTTTGGTCACTCGCCCACGGGCCACCAGTTGAATAGCCCTGCTTTRGACATACAGGATAGCTCAAGCAATCCTCAAAGAATAAGTTTAGGATGACTCTAAGCTACTACCATACCAACTTTTAGCTCAATTTCTGCAAAGCTGACTGAATTACAACCATTTTTGTCTTTGCTTATGTTGCTTAGCTTGTGGTGGCCATCTTGAATTGGGTTGACTCCAGATGTTAATAAGTTGTAGATGTGCAGTGGTTACTATCTCARATAATTGTTGAAATTCATCCAGTGGTTTGTTAGATACTTTGCTAAAGAACAGAGAAACGGGCAAAATTATCATCTCCCACTTCTTTTTTGGTGGGTAGGTCATAAATACCAGTTCTGTGTCAGGAAACAAGGAGAGAAAATAAAAGTGTCCCTTTGCTTCTTGATCATCTTTGGTTATATCATTAACTGATTTAGTCTGTTAAAGCGGTATTTAAAAAAAAAGGGTTCTCCACATGATTTGCTCCAAGTCTAATTTAGATGTCGACCCGATTCTTTTCATGCCTTTGTACAACCTGTTCAGAGCGCTTGTGCCACTGCTGTGCAGTGCGCAGACCTGACATTAACGACTTTAGCCAATATTGAAGTTTTTTTTTTTTTTGAACTTGTACTGTAATGAACTCTCACAGAATGGCTATGCCCTAAAGCTGTTCATTTTCTTCCTTTTTGCTCTGCCGGCCTCGGCCTCCTGCTCATCACAAACGYGTCTCATTTAAGAAGAATACGGGCACCGAGCTGAAATTTGGGCGCAATAAATCACCATTGCAGACGGCTGTTAATCAAAGTGTCGTGGTAAAGCACTAGTTCCACTCCTCCGCTCCCCTCCCGCTCCACACACCTTGTTTAAAAGCAGCATTTGACTATCTCTCATGTAAACGGATTACTGGATTAATTAATAAACAGTGTGAGATACTCCAGGAACATTCCTTTAGCAGAAAGCCTTCAAAGTGCCGTAAAAAATGTCGNAAAATATGAAGATGAATGTTTTATGCTAATTTACAAGACAGCTATCTTAAAGATTGCCTGCTTATTTTTGTTCATTCTTTTCTCAGAGTCATTAGGTTTCTTTTGTCTGTTTTCCTCTTTTATTTGCCCAAATTGAATTTATTCTTTTATTAAAGTGTAGAGAGCTTGAATGAATTGTACATGTATTAGATTTATGTAATAAAACCTTGAAACTTGGTTGAAGGTGGATAAGAAATTAAAGTCATTCCTTGAAAGAATGCATACCACCCACCACTTTTAATCTTTGAGTTTTAGGCTCAGATTGTCTTTTGTTATAAAATTACATACATTAGCTGTTTTGGTCAGAGCTATTCAACTAAATTGCTCAGGGGGAACAGGTTATCAAAGCCAATAATTAAAGGGCTGGACCAGGGCTGGGCGGTATGACCTCAAATTCATATCACGATATAAATTGAATCCCTTCACTGGACCGGTATATATTGCGGTATAAAATTATCATAAAAAGTAAAGATAATGTAATTTTTAGAGCATTTTTTTTTGCAGAAAACTGTAATTTTAATCAAACCCACAG